TGAGAGTTTGGTATCCCTTTTGTGACGTAGCATGACGAATAGAGCGACATAAAAAAAAATATTTCCTTCCAATTACAAAAGAATAGTACCTAATAATTGAAACTTACCTTATTCCAGGCGTACGCCGACGAGGGTCACGACCTGAAGGGCGTGATCGAGCACGTGTACCGGTCCATGGAGGACTACCTCCGCGAGTGCCTCTCCCTCGACCCCGAGGACACCAAGCTGCCGCCGCCCGACAGATAGACCTCACTATCCTATTGTTATCGTAATACTGTAAATATGTACATGAGACATAGTGCTTTAATCAAATGTGTTCCCCACGGCTCGACGGCCTCTGTCGGCTCACCGACCACCTCGTCGCGTGTCAGTGCGAAACCTCTTGTGATTAGTATTAGGTACTTATGAAATTTGTTATGATGAATAAAGTTGCATGAATTGAATTACTAAAAACACTAGTATTAGTGAAATAATTAGGTTGATTTTGTAATAGATAGAAACCAGACGACGGACTACGAAAGTACTTAAGATAAATTCTTCGAATTCAATATTTCCTCATCGAATCCATGATTCAGCTTCAGCACCATTCGGCTATACTATCGTACTGTGTCTTTTGCTAGCTCCTAAGAGCCTAGATAGGGAATAAATTGTAGACAACAAGTCGTAAGATATCAACCATTTCGTAAGCAGACGAAGTCTCGACGAGAGACGCGCGAGGCACCACAGATCGTCGTGACGACTACAACCCGAGCTTGTTCTGTTAGGCTTTTACTACTATTTTCTACTGCGCCTTTACTATCAAGCTTTTCTATTTTATCTATTCGTATAGAAGTGTCCACTTGTACTGTACATAACGTTGTATTACACAGATATAACAAATTGAACATTTATGTAATCAAAGCTGACTGACAAGAATACAAACTCAATTATTTTAATTGTCGTCGAACATATTTATTAGTTTTGTAATGATACTTTACTTCGATGATTGTTGTTAAACACTTTTGAACTACGAAAAATGAGGAGCTTATCATTTAGGGAAAAATTTACTAGGCCTTTTGAAGTAAATGTTTATGTTACAGATGTTTGAAATGTTATGTTTTATAAAATTATAGCGCTGTTGAAAATACCTCATGTGACGATGTACATATAATAATTCTTATCATAATAATATGTTATATGATAGAACGAAACGCGTTTTATAGTGACTTATAATATTTAGAAATGAAGTGACCTTGATCATCCCCTTACCTTAGCTGCTTTGGCTCCATCACATCATCATTTCCTAATCTTCCTAGTCGATAGGAGTGCAGGCAGAGAGGGCCTGTACCAGCCGCGAGACTTGCAGGCCCAAGCCAAGCACTCGCGCCCGATACTTCGTAGTCAGTGGATATCACGTCACTGTGCCACTCAAAACAAAACATTTGAGTATTAAGCTTGTACAAAATAGTCGATAAATTGAGCTAGAAAATTTGCCTTTCTGATAGATATTTCAGTAATGCAGTCTCTGAGTTTGAATCAAGTTGTTTAAAGTTGTGATGTCTATGTATGTACATAGAGGACAGAGGAAGGTAGCGGTGTGACCGCGCCGCCCTCGCGCGACTGACGCGAGCGATGCGAGCGACACGACTCGCGTGTCGGCGGGGGGCGGCCGCGTCGACACGTTGTTGTTGATTTCGGTAACTGTGACATAACTAGATAATTCATTGTTGTTGTATAGAGATAATAAACGTTTGCCGATATTGTTAAGTGTTATCGGATACCTGCATAGACGCATATCGTACATTCCATGTTTGTGAAGACTGCCAATTTGGTCTAAATTTTACAATCATTGTACTAATTAAATACCTACGATACGTCGATGAGATTAATTTCAATTGCCGTTATGGTCTTAAGGATGCTGTGATTCTTCTATTGCATAATTGTATGTAACGATAAAGGATTAAATTTTATTAAATAATAATTAAAATAATGTCTCCATCTGACATTGCGTAGGGCCTAGTGAAATCGAATTCGTTGTAATTATTAAAAATAATTATCATAAGGTTAATGTTAATTTAGATATTTTGAAAAATTCTTCCATTATAAAATAAACAATATTGCTTTGTTCTCCAGTTATGAAACAAAACATAGACAATATAATACGGGCTACGTGTACGTCACACACATGAGATTTTATAGTTAGATAAAATACGAGAGAGTTCGGAAACCGGGTGCTTTAAATTTTACATCATGTTGTACGTATTGATTTCATTAGCGAATGTTCTCTAGGTATACACTGCGAGGCCGGCCCGACCGGGCCGCCCGCGCTAAGTAAGAATACTTCCCATTTCTCATCATTTGAATTATGAGATATTCAGCGGATAACACCAATTAAATTCATATTATAGTATTTATATAAAGAAACGACAAACTTACCGGGTTGTTACGAAATTTTAGCACAATGATGGATCTAATCGTTTGCACGCCGCTTCACTCCTAACTTTCACTCCTTTCCAGTATCTAGTCCTTAGTCTTCCAGTACAGCGAAAGCTTCCGTACCTTGTCTTATTCTTGATGCAGGAAAGTAGGAACTATGTGATGACTATGTCAATTATTTCACTTTTCCAACTCTGATCAGCTACGTAATTGTTAATTTCGTTTACTTCTAAAATGTCCTTCGATAAAATCTCTATATAAAATTTAGATTTTCGTCCTAGTTTATCCAGATTCAATGGATGTGGTATAAATGTGAATCAGTAATGCTGTGTTCTTAGGATCCCTGCATTAAACGCTACACTGCATTCCACTCACAGATTACATAATTATATTTAAATGTATAGGTTGGTTAACAATTATGATTTAAGTGACTATGGACGATGAAGCAGCAGAAACATTCGAAATACTCGATGTTTAGGTGGTAGCGAAGTTAACATTTGTCAATTTAGCTAAGCAATAAACAAAGTGAATAATATAGAGTACCCAGTACTGCGTGTGAGTGGAGTGCAGTTGGGATGCAGCGTAGTGTCCGCCTTGTATCTTTAGAGTGCCGCGGATTGCTCCCTTAGCGGTTAGATTGAAGACGAACGATATTGAATACAACACTAATATACTGACAGAAGTGTAGCCTGTTAATTTCCAAACGTGTGAGATCTAAGAGATCAGTAGTTTATAAAACAAGCCAGTCCAGTAACGAGCGTGGCATATATGAGATGTTGTATTCAGTACCGCGCCGTTTGATGGCCCTAGAAATCATCTAAAAATCTACGTTATTGTTAATCAGTGTTATAAATCTTATCGTCTCGTTTAAGAGTTACAGTGTTGTATAGATTGGTACGTTTGATTTGTAAAAATTCTGAGATTATTCTGTTATTATTGTAAAGTTTCTTTGAATAAATAAAATTTTGAAATTTACATAATCGTTCATATTGCAGTTTTATTTATGGCGTTAATTATAGAAATGTGACAATAAACAGTTAGGTACTACTTATCTGGTAAGTCTAATTGCATACTGCTGGGCGGGTCGCGGTAGTTGCGGGACCACATCTCGACGGAGCGGAAGTATCGCTCGAGGTGCTCGTCCTTGACGTCGACGTCGGCGGCGCTGAGTCGCGCGCTGCACGTCGTGCCGCTGAACGCTCCGTCAGAGTTACAGTTGGAGCGCGACACGTTGCGCATCAACTCGTAGTGCGAGAAGTTCATAGACATGAGCGAAGCGTTCTCCGTGCCGGGCCGGAACGTGGAGCTGGAGCACATGTCCATGAACATGTCGGACGCGCCCTGCGCCGTGGGGTTCAGTCCGCGGCTCGACGCGTACTCTCCGTTCACCAGCTTGCTCTTCTTCAGTCTACCCAACGCCAAGTCTAAAGATCTTACAGCTTCGTTCACGTTAAAAGACTTCCGTTTCGCCGGTTCGCTTTTGAGTTTCATAAGTGGTGTGTTATTGCAAGATCTCGCTTTATTGACAAACTTCTTATCGTTAGGTTGTTCGCCATTATTTTCCATGGCAGTGATTTAGATATGGCGTTGCATTTTATCTTGATAATTATTATGGTGATTTGTGTAGAACTTGTCAATTTGTACAATTAAATTATTATCACATTTTTCACGCATTGAAGATTGGTTTTCTTGTCGACAATGTATGCCAAAAAGTGACAAGTACCAAAAATTTGCAATAAATTTACGGGATAATAGATAAAATAAACTTTTAAACGAAAGAGTCTTTAGTACTATTTTTAATCATTTATTACTTACCCACTAGATGGCACTGTATAATACTATTGTAACGCCATCTACGTATAAAACTTAATACTACGTTCGCCGTCCCAAACCACGCGACCCCTCATTTATAAACTCGAATGTCAACATACAACAGGATATTTATTCACGTACGATAGATGGCACCACGAGTGCACGACACTTTTATTGAGAAAATAAACAAACAAAAACGAGTTCCGAAAGTAATTTTCATTATAATGTAAATTATCAAACATAAAATGTTTTAAACAGAGCTACGGCTACATATAGTAAAAGGAATTAATAGACAAAATAATTTTGTAAAGAATACTAAGAATATTCAAAACAATATAGTGTATGTAGTTACAATACATTTCTTCATGAATGGTGGCAAAATAAAGAATATTAAGGTACAGAGTGTTAATTTTTTTTCAATGAATCTTAAAACTAGAACAGATAAAACATGTAGCTAAATCATAAAAATAATGAACGTTAAACGCCGTAGCACTCTCGTAGCAGATTCGTAGCACAGTTTGGTAAATCATACAATCTACGTAGAAGCTTGAATTTTATGGAACAAAATAGATACATTTTAAAATTGAAATTTGAATATATTTTTCAATAAATATGTATATTACGAAAAACGCTCGACTTTTACATGAATATGGCGTAGGAGCAATAACCATTTCAACCACTTTAGTTCGTAACGATATCTCTAATTAATTATCACTTCATTGTACAAAATTATCTACTTACATCTTATTTTCCTCGTAAATTATCAATTATAATTATCCTAAGTAAATGCCCTGTATGATCTTAGCAGGTAAGTACGCGTCACAGAGGGCGGCCGCGGTGGGCGCTAAAGCTTCTATCTCCGCCTTCGTGCCGCTAGATAGCATTACTGTCAACTCTTCTTTGATACAAGCCCCTGGAATTATACGCTTAGATGGGGAAATATTTTGTGCTCTTTTTTAAGATAACTTTAATGTATAATATGTACACTAGTTAACTTGCATTAAAATTAACTTTTAAGTAAATCTCTAACAAATGTTATGATTTTTTTTTATTAAGGTGATATTATATTAGTTACTGACTCGACTGCCTCGTTGGCCGAGTGGTCGTAAGTGCGACTGCCGGGCAAGGGGTCTCGGGTTCGATTCCCGGGTCGAGCAAAGTATTACTGGGTATTTTTAAATATTCTTAGTAGTAGCACGGAGTCTGGAATTGTGCCCGGTATATGGCAATAGGGTCACCCCCTATTACATAGGACTCATAACATAAATAGTGAAAAGTGGGTGTTACATTGTACAGTGGTATAATGTGCACCTCTGCCTACCCCGTCGGGGATAAAAGGCGTGATTTTATGTTTATTAGTTACGAAATTCATTAATAGGTAATTAAAATAAACTTTTAGTAACTGAAATCATTAAAACAAAATAAACGTACGATTGATTAGTAAGTAGGTAGTTGTTGAGATTAGCGTTTTCAACCAAATAAACAGTGCTTTTAGCCAAATACCACTTTAGCGCTTGTCTACAGAGAGAGTAGAAAACTAAATGTATGAGGATGACACTGACAAGTGTCAATATTTACGTGAATTCCTTATAATTTGGTTTTCTATTCTACATGTAGTAAGCGCTAAATGGCATTTGGCTACAGCTGCTGTTCAACAATATCCGATCCAGTAGCGTTACTACATGGTGGTAACTCGGCTAAATGTCCCCAGCTGGAAGGGTCTTCCAGAGGTTCATACCTGAACTTCTCTGTTTTAATAGGCAAAGGACCTCCGATGAATTAGCCATTTGCCTCGAACATTATAATTACGCCACTGATGCTATCTTTTGTCCTTGTCAAATAATTAACTGTATAATTAATAAAAAAAATAGTCATATGTATTTTTGAAAACACATACCAATTTGACTATTATTCAAATACGGTCTCTTGAGTAGATTAACAATTTTCCTCTTGTCCAGCTCAGTAAGTGGCAGTCTTGCTTCTATAGGAGCCAGGGTCATGACGTCACTGTGACGAGCTCCTAACATCACCAAGGAACTGCAAGCTAATGATGATGATAGGTGGGATTGGCTCTGTGAATTAACAAATTGAGTCTTTGTAGATCATATTGTGAGTGCAAGAAATTTGTTCAAACATGAACATGCCATATCAGCGAGATAACCCTACGTGCATTAGCACGCGCAAATTAATATTATTATTTTGTTTATTAGATTTTTTTTTATTGTCTATTCAAAATTCTGTTATTATGGTATTATTATTTTGTTATATTGTGATGTTTTCTGTTCTGATCTCTATTCTTGTAAGTTTATTATTAGTATTTTGATTATATATAGAGGTATATGTATTTTTATGTTTTTATATCTTTGTTTTCTGTGCGTGTAATTGCCAAATAAATGTTTTTTCTTTCTTCTTTCTTTCTTTCTTTCTAATAAAGTACTGACCAGAAACATATTAATTCCGGAATACAACTAAGGAAAACATCACGTACACACGTAAGGATAGAGCGCTGAGATGGTACATTACACGCATAGCACACAATCATAGTGTGGTATGTGTGTACATAGGATAAGTTACTAAACTTATCCTATGTACTAATAAGATCTTATATACTAATAAGATCATGTAAAATAGAAATAAAACAGTCACTAGTTGATTCCGACTTTGACTCACTACCCTTCCTCCACCACTCGGTGGAGGAAGCTCCTCCTCTCGCTGTGGCCAAGACACCTTTAGCCATCGACCGATCTGTCGTGTGAGTCTGCTCGACAGACAGTGAGCAAACCCTCTCCACCATATCCCATTCCTACCCACATTCCGTCTGCCATCGTAGGTCTCAGGTGGCAGATATCCAGCACCTATCTATATAAGTATATATAAATACGTATGGTAGGGCTAGGGTCTAGGGCATTAGGCGCGTACGAAGCGTAGGTCTGTATCACAGCATACCACAGTGTACCACGATAGTACGTGCCTTAGGTTAGGGCCTTGTAGTAGGTGCGTAGAAGTGCTGGTCTGTATTCCAGTATACCCCAGAGCACCAAGCCTATACGCATTGTACGCTAGGCAATTATAGGATAGGATATTATAAGCGTTAGATTAGCTAGGATAATGTAGGATAACGTTAGCTTGTAGTCATTAGGATTAGGTTATCCTGTGCAGTAGGATTGTGGCGTAAGGCTACTATCCCGCTGTACAAAATTCAATTTTATATTGTTAGTAGATTTTAACTTCGTTTGGGAGGCGGGTTAGTGATCGGAACTTGGACAGGTTTGTCAGAAATTACAAATGCCTGGTATACAGGCTATATAAAAAACTCTCCAGAAACGCTGACAAAAAGAAATTATGTTCACAATTTGAACTGTTTTTGTGTTATTCATGCATCATCACCCTTGAGCAGTTGATTACAACTATTATTTAGTACATAAATGAAACATTTGCTGTTGACTGCCTCGTTGGCCAAGTGGTCGTAAGTGTGTCTGCCGGGCAAGGGGTCTCGGATTTAATTCCCGGGTCGGGGAAAGTATTACTGAGTTTAAAAAAAAACTCAGTAGTAGCACGGAGTCTGGAATACCCGGTATATGGCAATAGGCTCACCCCCTATTACATGGGACTAATAACATACATAGTGAAAAGTGGGTGTTACTTCTGTGTGCACATGTCAACCCCTTCGGGGATGTTATGTTATAAAAAAAACATTAAATGCCTTACTGTTATGAATATAAAACTTGTTTTTTAACCTGTCGGCGTTTCCGGAAGCATTCCGCTTACACCCTACATAAGATATAATTTTTACACTCAATCGATTATGCGATAGTGCGTCGAGCGTCCAGCACATTCCGACGCATTGTTCGTCAGATATGAACCAAATCCTATCCTATAACAAAACAGACAGAAAGACAGAACCTTTTAAACAATATACTATACACTTACCAATGACCCATATTTATAAGTGAGGAATATTTCATATCCGTGTGGATCTGCGTCGACCAGCGCAAGCGCACGGAGCCTCAACTCAGAGCACAAGCGGTTTAGCAACTGTCGCGTACAAACATCGGGGTAACCTTTTCCCTGTAAGCAAATAATTGAATAGTGACCTGTGGAAGTCCACGCTGGACTTCGAGTGGCGAGCCTCCACTATATATTTAAGAGGGTTTGTCGTACTTACGCTAGACAAGGTTGGTTAGTAATCGCAAATTAAAAGGCCCAGATTATCACAGACCACTGCTGTCTGAGGCATTATTATGAGTTTCTATTACGTTTACATAACAGGTTACAGTTTTAGCACATTAAACGTAATGACTGACTGCCTCGTTGGCCGAGTTGTCACAAGTGCGACTGCCGGACAAGAGGTCTTGGGTTCGATTACTAGGTCAGGTATCTAAACTAAATCTAAACTAAAGTACTACTGGGTTTCTAAAAATACTTAGTATTAGCACGAAGTCTGGAATTGGTCCCGGTATATGGCAATAGGCTCACCCCCAATTACGTGGGACTCATAACATAAATAATAAAAGTGGGTGTTACATTGTACAGTGGCATTAAGTGCCGTAATGAGCACCTCTGCCTACCCCTTCGGGGATAAAAGGCGTGAGGTTGTGTTATGCTATGTCATATTTAAGCAATTAAGCTATTAGACTACGACGTACAGTCGCGGAGAACTTAACGGGTAACCGCGGCTCCGGCTCGACGTGAAGGAGAAGGAACGGGGTGGTTTTTAGTCAGTCAGAGTCTGACACTCCCTCTCGCCTTGCCCAGGCGGGAGCAGTCATTCGATGATTTTCCCCCATTAAAAAAAAAAGACTGCGACGTACTAACTTTTACCCACCTGCAGTTCTCATAAATGAATCACACAATAAATTTTGCCAACTGGGAAACCCACATTACATAGCAGTTGCACTAACAACCATTACACAAACTAGACCATTTTAATCTTAAGTAAAAACATAATAAAAATACTAGCTACCACCATCAGCTGGCACTATTATCAATCTAGTTTGACACTAAGGTATAATTGTAAGATTACCTGCAAATCATTGGATCTGCCTAGGGCTAAACTATCTAGTTTGCTCGTTAAATAAATATACCATGACTTGTAGATTCTGAATGTATTAACTCCGTGTACAGTAATTAAGGTGTAGAAGATAAAGTAGGTGTTTCATACATTGAATACTAATGTGTTTAATGGGTCGGTCTTTTTTTATAATAAAAGCTAAACTTGATTTAGAACGTTAATAGAACTAAGAATGTTTATTACCAGTATAATATTAATGAAAATAAAAAGTATTAATAATGTTTTTCTGTAAAGTACGTACAAAAAAATCGACATCAACCTCCTATTTTTTTAAAGTCGGTTAATTAATACTAGAAACTTCTAAGTGTAACAAATACTTTTCTGGATGTCACATTAAAAGCAGTTCTGCCAATCGCGAGATAATCACGCACAAACATACATACATACTTTTATAATTATGCGTGCATACAAGTGTACATACATTATTATTAAAGTCGGTTAAAAATGTAGTTAAACATAACAATATGCGTCGAAATAATAAGTTAAGATTTAGAAAGTAACCTGTGTTTAATTAAGAGTTCTACTTAATATGTACCTTAAATTATTCAATCGGTTTTGCATCATTTGGCTTACATAAAAAAAAATACTTAAAGCATTTACGACTCTCAAGAAAAGGGTTACAAAGATATAAAACCAAAAAATGATTTGAGAAGTTATTTTAAACTGAATAAAGATTTGAAATTACAAACAGCAACACCTTCAACAGTACCAACCAGTCAATCGTGATATTGGACGTCTTGTAATCAATATGAAAAGATACACAAAAAATGAGCCATTAACTTACCGTTATGATGATGACTGGACCCAGTCGAAGTAAGGCTCCTTCATCCAAGAGTTTTTGAAAGATGGCATCTTTTTCCACCACCAGGATGTATTTGGCTGTAGACTGGAACTCTTTGATCCCGACGATATCTTGTGGTATTAGTACGCCTATGGAGGTAAACATAAACAGAAGATAGATGTATCCAATTAAATGAATGTTCTTAAAATAGTGTACTTAGCTGTTATGTGCCCTGCCTATACCAAATCCATTGAATAGCGACATGATAGCCAATGACGCACAAAGCGACACATTTACGGAATATTGCAACACCTAATATGCTGAGTCGACTCCTCGTGTCGCCGCATCGTGGCTTACTTCCACAGTGCTGATGTTGCATCTGTATTTTACGTAGAATTAATTCGGACTATAATATGTATTAATAAAATAATTCACTTTGGTACTAGCATCGTCCAAGTCTACACATAAAACTATTGTAATATTTAAATTAATTAAACTTTTATCTTTAAAAGTTTCGATTATTTCAAAGTCCTCCGGCTGTCACCTACATAATTGGCGCAGTCGGTAGGATATTCGAGGCAGCGTGGCGCAGTACAGATTTCCAAAAATCGTTAATCTACTGACTCCGGTAGTCGCTGTCGGTACTTCCAAGTACATCGTCGAGTATCCGAACTTCAGAAGGTGCAGCTGAGGGCGTATCCAGTCATCGATACATCGAAATAATCATGTACATGTAAGTCCTTGAAACTTTCTTTAAGTGTTGCTCCCTTATCCTTCCTTTTCACCCTTTTATAAAAATTAATCAAAATTTTTCATCCAAGGGTAACCAGGAATAAATCTGTCTCTTCCAGACAGATAAGCAGGTGTAGGGAATTAGATTCTAATAGGGTTATCGATTCAGATAATTTAGGTTTAGAAATATTCGATACAAATAAGATGGCATTGAACCCCGATTCTATCTATAAGGCTTTGCGCCCAGTCCCGGAATTTGATGGCAATCCAAATGTCCTCACGCGTTTTATTAGAATATGCGATCAACTCGTAGGACAATACGTTAAAGATGATCCGAGTTGCGAATTAACTAATTTGTGTTTAATAAACGGTATATTAAATAAAATTACTGGATCTGCAGCCAGAACTATTAACTCTAATGGTATACCGGATAATTGGCAAGGGATCCGTGATGCTTTGATAAATAATTTCTCCGATCAACGAGACGAGACCGCTCTTTATAATGACATGTCCTTATTAACACAAGGGAGTAGTACCCCTCAAGAATATTATGACGTGGATGACTCGTTATAGCGATTTACTCACGAAAATTGTAACTAATCAGGAAAGAATAAATAAAACATTAGAGCAACTTTTAGATAAGAATGCTGCTAGCGATTTAATAAGATTCGCGAAGTTTGCGCAATTATTAGTAATAATTAGCGATAACATAGATGACGTATTCTTAGAGATAACTAAAATAGAAGATACCTTAGCTTTTATACGTGCATCGAGCACTCATCATAGTATGTTAAGCATAGAAAACTTAGGTAATATGATTACTAGATTAAAAACCATATATAGTCCAAATCAACTCTTAGATGCAGATTTAAGAGAATACTATACAATCATTAAACCTGGTTACTACTACATTAATAAAAGAATAGTTATAATATTTAAGTTTCCCATTATATCTTTAGATAAATTTGAATTTTATAGATTAGCCATAGTTCCCAATAAATTCATGTACACCTTTATCCCTCCTTACCCTTACCTTGCAACCAATGGGAAAGTTTTCAAGTACATAGAGGCAGAATGCCCGAAGTTCAACCAGTATCATCTCTGCGAGGAAGGAATCGACCGCCAACCGACGAGAGGACATCTAGACTGCATCCAAGAACTAATCTTTAATCAATCCCTGAAGAAGTCCTGCCTGCCTACGAAACTCACACTAGTCAAAGAAGCTATGGAGCAACTTGACGACAGACGCTACACACTTACCTTTCCACGACCAACTCGGACGGAGCTGCACTGCGATCGCCAAGAATTCATCTCTCTACACGGAAGTTATCTGGCTACTATCCCGCAGAACTGCCTACTACGCACTGATCAGTTCACAATCACTAACACGAACGATCATATCAAAGGACAACCTCTAAAGATAACCGAAATACCAATGAACTTAAATCTAACTGAAGAACCGATTAGACACCTGAAATTAAATTCGTTGCATCTGAAAAGCCTTCACGAGATCGAAGATAAAATACTCATGCAGAATCCCGTGCAACTGGAACATACACAGTTATCGCAATCATTCTACCACACGACGATACCACTATACGTCGTACTATTCGGTGCAACTGCACTCATTGTTGCAACCGCATTACGCCACTACAATGTTTGCACTAAATTTACGAGGCCGCAAGCAAATGATGAGATCACCGAGAATCATCCACCAGAGCCATCGGCCGCCGGAGCAGATACATCTACAGTCACCGAGAACCAGATGCCAGCAACATTCTCGCTAAAATTGCTCAAATAGTTGCTGTTCTGAGGGTGGAGGTGTTATGTGCCCTGCCTATACCAAATCCATTGAATAACGACATGATAGCCAATGACGCACAAAGCGACACATTTACGGAATATTGCAACACCTAATATGCTGAGTCGACTCCTCGTGTCGCCGCATCGTGGCTTACTTCCACAGTGCTGATGTTGCATCTGTATTTTACGTAGAATTAATTCGGACTATAATATGTATTAATAAAATAATTCACTTTGGTACTAGCATCGTCCAAGTCTACACATAAAACTATTGTAATATTTAAATTAATTAAACTTTTATCTTTAAAAGTTTCGATTATTTCAAAGTCCTCCGGCTGTCACCTACATAATTTAGCTTTAGAATTAGATTAAAATAAAATATTAGTGAGTCTAGACTCTAAATATGTACATATATCCCAAATTGAAATTGATAACACCATTGTTATTTTAATTATTGTTTTTCGACTTACATAATAATTAATTTAGTATGTCTCACGGAAGTTATAATATAAATGTTAAATAAATTATTATGTTTCCGGCTTACTCACGTAGTAATTCGACGAGGAACTCGTAAGCCGAAAACATAATAATTTATTTAGTATGTCTCACGAAAGTTACAATAAAAATATAAATGTTGATATTTTATTATTTTTATCCTTATTAATCACTATCGGCCATGGCTTCGTGAGACGGTTAACAGAAATAACAAAATTATAAAAGTAAACATAATAAGGCCTCATTTATTGCCTGAAATGCCAGTTATGATGAGTTCCGCATAATAAATAGTAAAAATGCCTTTAATACGAAAACTAGGTTTAAGATTTACTCACCTCCAGGCGCCATACAATCAACAACGTTGCCGTCTCTAAGATGCAGGGTGAGGGGTCCAGCGATCAGACCTTTGGCCGTAGCCACTATACCCAGGGTCCATGGAGGAGTCTCCAGTAAGCAGCATACGTCTCTCACTGCTAAGTCCAAGTTACTCTGGTTACGAAGCCTCATTACATTTTGGTAGAATAGCTCTCTGTAGAATAAATACGAAATTATTCGACTGTTGCTCTGTTCCTAATAAAAGTGCTTGAAATGTTAATATGAAAGTTAAAGAAAGTATATGATATCAGTCTTCAGCGCTTCTCATCCAACCACTGTCAGCACCTTGTGGATGTCGTCACTCCACCTAGCTGGAGAACGCCCTACACTACGTCTGCCTAGACGCAGTCTCCACTCCAGAACACGTTTACCCCAACGGTTATCGGTTCTTAAACAAATGTGACCGGCCCACTGCCACTTCAGCTTACTGATCCTTTGCCTTTGAAAAGACATTGCCAAGGAAGTATTACGTAACAAACAAAAAGGGCATACAGCTAAAGCAGTTCCATAAAAGCTGACGTCAGTACATCAGCCTACCCTTACCTTTATTACAAGAAGGTTAAAGTTGAAAATCTATTGAAAAATACAGATATCAATAGGCGGCTACTGTTAATAAAGGTGCTGTAGGCTTACCGTCTAGTGACAGTCAGGTTCTTCGAAAGTAATTCATGAACCTTTGTTAACACAAACACAATAATGTTGAATCTTGTTTTATCATTGCCACTTGCATAACAAAGTGTGGTTTTCTTCGCATCGTTAAACGCTTTTAGCGTCACTCTGAAAATGGCAATAATTATTTTACGCCTGAATACTGAAAGGCTAGTCAATTTTAAGTTGTACTTAAATATCGTGCCAACTCTGTCATTTAAAAAAGAATTTGTAGTGACAGAACCATATTTAAGCGCGACTTAAACTTGAGTGGCATTTGAGTATTTGGACATAGTGCTTTACAATAGGATTAATGTTCGCTGACAATATAAATAAGTTTAATCAATTGTTTATTTATTTACACTTCTGTATATAATATACGATAACGTACTTAATGCCGGGTGGTATTCTCTAACAGTCAACCATGGGGTGATGCAGAGATGTGCAAGTAGTTGTAATAGGTATTAAGAAATTAATGTTTAGTGAAAATGTAAGTCATTAAAAATAAGTAAAAAACGAATTTGGTAACCTCATTTGTGATCACGTTTCAGAATTGGCTTGGCAACATTTTTGTAAAGAAATCATGAACTAATAACTTAAATCATCTGTTTCTGCAATTTGATAATTTTAAATTACGGAAAACACGCATCTGGTTTTCCTAAGATATTTGCATATTATATGAATTTAGTAATTAACATACAATATGCAGGTACACTCTAGGTATCAATTAAACACGTAATAATTATCTACCTATAACTATTAACTACAATATAAAGTTCTGTTTTCTCACCTGTCTAAATCATAAACACAATTGCTCCACAGTTTCTGATTCCGTATCACAAGTTTCGGTGTATCTCCACTTTCCGCCCGTTTATTAATGTCATCCAATATTTGTTCTACTTTTTTTATAAGCAACCTTCTTTCGTCATTTGTCTCCTTCAAATGGACATGTAGAGATTTGTGAGCACCTGGAAATATGTATTAGCTTGCAATTTGTTTGGTGAGATAGCAAAATATTTACTTAAACTGTTTTTACTGATTACCTTTTTCGACTTTTGAACCTTTCAAAAGCTCCTGAACTTCGCCAAAATCTAATTTTCGTTCAGGAAGCGACAATATTTCAACTGCGCCCATTAATTTCTTTTGATTAGTACAGAGTTTATCAATAGCAGCGGCAAGCTTCGAATCTTGTTTGAATACAGACTCTGCATTCAACGGCAAATCTTTCGTGAATGCCAACAGCTCCGTATTCATTAAGTCCATCCTAAAAAATGACGTCCCAAACATGCATTGAGTACAAGAATAATTGACAAACAAACCCGATGGAGCTGTATTAATGTAAACCACCGGTAAAAGTGACGATGATCCCTACCTACCTAGTGGCGAGATGTTTATCAACCGCAAACAATAACAGCGTCACAAAACGGAGCTCGTAAAAGGGCCACGAGACAATAGGGCAGCTCCTCAAGTGTTTTTATAGCGAAGTCGAGCGAACAAGCGAACGGGACGAAATCATCGTCGGTGGCGCATCCGACTTGCACTCACTGAAAAAATGACACAATAGATTTAATCGAGAGATAGTCGAGGCAGGCGTCTCGAGGAGCAGATGACACGCCGTGACGACCTCACAAAGGGCGTGAAATGACGTCATAATAGCCTCGAATTATCGCCCCCTCTTGTCTCAGGGCAAATATTTAACAGCAGTCGCGTTTTTGTCCTCCTTCTTCGGCAGGAATCATAAATAACAGGGTTACGGCAGACAAATGATGCGGACCGTTACCGCAACGCTTTGTTACGCGGTGACATATTGCAACGACCTGATGTTTATGTCTTATTATGGATTCCGAGGTGAGTTATGTTCGCTGATGGAGTTCTTGGTAAGTGGCAAGTTTGTGGGCCACTTCCAATAGTGCACCTGATGTGATCGGTATCTATTATGTTGATTGACAATTTATTCTCGATATTAATGCTTTTACAGAAATCGGTGGGAATTCGTGGAAATTCTGAAATTGCGTAGTCAATAACTTATTTCACAAAACACTCAATGATTGCCTCTAACTTGTAACACAACGACCAGCACTTAAGTTCACCCTAAGGTCTTCCTAGCCATTTTAATTAGGTACTTGAGGTGTGAGAAAGTAACTACTAAAAACATTTCCCATTGGCTCCCCGAGGCGCGTCGATAGCATCAGCGGGTGACAGCCCGCACAAATACCATACAAATTGCTCGATAGCTCCTTCAAATTGATTGTTGCAATTATTCGGCGAACCCTTTCGCGACGCGGCGACTGCGCCTGCGACCACGGGGAGGTGAGAACGCACTTATCTATCATCTCGATCGCTAGACGAACGACCCAACTCTTTGACAACGGTGTGAAGTAACAAGCCACTAGATCCGCAGTTGGGAGCAATCGGGAGGTCGCCGGTTGTTCGCCATTCTTTTATTAGATCCTTTCGTTTGATAGTCGCTGATAAAGCGCCGTTTCTCATTATGATTTACAGTTTACACGCGAGTGTTTAACGATATTTTTTATCAGTAACATCTTTGCAGCTTTAAGAGTTGACATATTAATGTAATGGGCAAATAAATTATTTTAGGAATAGTGGTATATTGAATTACTGTATCGACATCCATATATTTTTCCTGGATCACACTCATTAGGTATACCTAGACCATTTTCAGAGTTTTTATATAGACTTAAATCAAACAATACTCAGATTGAAGTGCAAAAATATCCAACAGTATGTCCTTCGACTATTACAAACTTCCCACAAACGCGACCTCTAGTGCGGTCATCGGAGCGGCAGTAAATGCAGCAGTTATAAAAATAGGTAACAGTGTTGTTGCATTGTATGGGCACGAGTGGCCGACGCTAGGAGCCACGGGGCGCCTGCCCACAATGGACCACCATCGCGGTATCTCCATGCACGATACGTTGCCGCCTAATTGACTGCTCAAACGCTATTTTAATACATTGTTATTGAATGCCGATTTGTATATTGGGATCTCATGATCGGAAGCTGTTTTATAATAGCTGATGATCTTATCGCGTTTGAAAGAAATTTATATGGTGTAGGTACATGAACGTTTTATTGTTATGGGCTCTTCGGTTTAAGCATTCACCGTTTTAGACTTTAATTTCTAATAATGGTATAGAAGGTAGGTCGTTTTCGTAGACTTTTTAAATGAATAGGACAGGCAAAGGCATAGGTAAACCAACAGGCGGATCACCTGATGGTAAAACCAGAAATCCGCACCCGTAACAACATAGAAGATATAAGTGCATTACCGGCGTTTTAGGAATGACAGAAGGATTGAGCCTCGAGTAACTTCACTCATACGTTAAAGCTCAAAACAAAACAATAACAAAGTACAAGAACATCTTAAAATTATCGGTTACTCCTAATATTAGTACCCATATTCCCACACGCGATAGTTAGAAATGCAACAGTTTCTCATACTGGAGTGGCTACTTTCGCTTTATACTCGAAACAATGCTCACAATACCCACAATTGCTCACAAGTTATAGAAATACGTCTACAGCATTATTTTGGAACTGAAGAGTTTATAAAACTAGGGGCTTATTTAATTCATTGTTTTATTTGGTTTGTAAGCGATCGCCGTATGATGTAGATGTTCAATTGTACTGGTATTATAAGAAACAATTGAACTGTTGAAGATTACCCACTCGGGAATTGTTCTTTTACTAAATACCAAGCGCAGTATCCGAGTGTGTGATACATGTGGGTAGGTGACTAGAAAGATGGCTGAATGTAATTTAACTAAACTTCTCGATTTGTATCAGACGTTACCAAAAACATTAGGTACTTATATCGTGTGCAAATTCAATAGTAAATTAGTCAAAAAGTAAGAAAAACATCAAAATAAAAAAATGAATTACAAACAAAATATCGCCATGTCCATAAAACTCGCAATTTTTGCTCATCAATCTTTTAGAGTAGATAAATGTAAAAAATCATGCATAATAAACATAGCCTATACTTCCCCTGTCCTCGGCTTGAAGTGGCGTCCCGTCGCGCACCAATATTGTAGCTCCTGTACCGTTCCCACCCCACTCCAGCAATCCTCCCCGGACATTTACATACGACAAAGCGACTGTCACATATTAAACTGTATGATTACAATACATTAGATTTATAGGCGAAAAACAATAGCCCTCAAGTGCATTCAACCCTTTTTTTAAAACAAACGTTGTAGCGACGAAACGTTAAGCTCATTTAGAGGGTAATTAATATGAAAGTTCTCATAATCCCCAGCAATTAAAAACGCTTTTATAATTTAATCTGTGGAAAAAAAACAATGGACCGACCTTTATTTATCTGTTTGGTGTCTCTGGTTGATTTATATTGTGATGTTTTAATTTTTGATTTCCCAGAGATTTGCGACGTTTCAGAAACTAAACTGGACGTTATCCTTTACTGAAACTACTTACAAGGACTCAAAATTAATTAGGTATAAAAGTTATTGGCTACATTGATTGTAGTTGCATTGCAATAATATATATAGAGGTATACCCTTAAAAACTGATGAATTGAAGAAACATGAGATTACAAAATCTATTGCACATTCTGTTTCCCTACATGGGCACTCAAAACTCAAATAAAAAACATTAAAAAATCATCTTTAAACAGACACTGTCACTTTTATAAGAAAAACTCGATATTTATTGCTTTTCAATTCTAATGCGATTGAGATTCTGCGTGTGCGGCATTAGAAGTCGCGAGCAGGTGTCACCGCAGCTGCGTTCCCAGGCTACAAACTAAATCTAGACTCTTCTACTACATCCTAGTTCAATACACTGCACACTGTGTACTAATACTCATTACTTGTCTTTATACAACAAGCTTAGCAACTATTTTCAACCTAACCCTGATAACTTTTTGATTCAAAGCTACACGATAAAGACATGTCATATCGTAAGTCCAACTTAATTAAATAATTAAATGCTGCTTACTTACCAATTTATAGTCTTGGTTGTAGATACTCAGTGTTTAATGATTTCACAACACGCACAATTAAGTAATTAAATTATCTATCTAGAATATTCTTTGCAAGCAATCAAAGAAACAAAAAAAAGAATAAAGTTGACTTTTTTTTATTTCGCGCCAAAACTCACTATTATTTTTTTATTGAATCACCAATGGAATAAAATTTCGAATGATATTCTCGATAATCGAACGAAAATTCTTAATTAAAAAAAACCGCCGCTAGTAAAAATATGTATAGGTATGTTATTTTAATAAATGATAAAAAAATCTAATAGCATTAAATTATGTTCCATGAAATGTTTTTATAAACATTGCTTATTTTATTTTTGTTTATTAACATTTAACAAATTGCAATACGGCACTACGGCAGTGACAAGTTCAACCACCCACAAAGCTTATGTATTTATCGACGTATTGCGATGTCCCCAACAAGATCATATCGGCACAGCTGTCGCTGCCACGTGCAACCGTGCATCCCAGGTATTGACATTAATGCTTTGAAAGCAATTTAAACTGAGGTTATGGTAATATAAAGGGTTTTTGTCCGCAATCCAATTAATTAGACACAATATGATCGTGGTGTCTACACGTATTCAAAGTAGTTCAGAAGAACTTCGTAACTTTTTTTGCATTCATGTTTTTACATCAATACAAAACTTACTGGGCAGTTTTTTTTCATATATATTATCACGGGTCACAGATATACTATGATTGCTATAAAACGTTAACGGAAAATTTTACACTATTGTGAACTTTTGAAAAATAGTTATCCTATTTGTTTAAATGTTCAATTTGGTCGAGAATATCCACCGATTATTTTATTGTATTTGTGGTCTATGGCAATAAAAAAAGAATGTCCTATATCTATAGTCTATGAAATCGAACACAAATTTGAATGATTTGAACCTAAATTTCATCACATCTTTGTCTTAACATCATCAAAATCACAATACACATTCAAAAAACCTTAACAATCACAATGTTTACGCTGTCTATAAGCCAATACCAACACTTATAGACCAGTAATAACATCAATTGTGGACAATCGTCACAATCGAGTATCAAGTAGGGGAGGTTAAGCCGTTCATATTATCTGTTTGCTTAACATTCATGAGGTTCACCCTCCCTTACTAACCGACACATTTGTTTTACTAAACTACTACACCGGGTCCTCTGAATATTTTATTTAAACACTCCAGATGCGTTAACGCTTTCATTTCCATATTTTTATTACATTAGTTGAAAGTACGAATTAGTTTTATTAATTTCTTAATTACCTCGGATAATTTTATAATTTATTATCTACATACTATCTTATAATACTTCACTAAGTTTATTCTACAGTTTTTATTAATCAATATATAGCTTTTATTGGGAAATAATCATTGTTAGACGTAGGTACGTACTTATCTATGTCTACTTTACTTACTT